TTATCACTTTTTATTCACAGCTGAAAGGTGGGAAGAGCTTAGAAGGGCTATAAGGAAAATGTAGATGTACACAGAAAATTAAAGTTATGATTCCTATATAAATGGAATATGAGCAGATATTACGTAAATGAAGTTGTTATAATATACAAATGGCAAAACACTTGAATATAACATATGCATTGGAATGGAATGGTCTTAAAATAAACCATAACACTAAATTTCTTTTTTATTGTGCATTTAAAATCTCAATTTTGACATTTAATTTTATCGTTTAGAGCAATGGATACAGTAATCCCCCTATTTCTGTCTAGGCACCACTGGTTTTCCAGTCTCCTGGTTTACAACCTTGGTGTTATCTTTGAATCCTAATTTCATTCACCTCACATAGCCCCTCAGCAGCCAAACCTTGTCATCTGTAACCCTGCAACATCTCTCCCCTCTAACCCCTTCTCTCCATCCACTGAGCCACCATCTTAGTTCAGGCTCTCATCACTGACTCCCAAAATAGGCTTCAAATTAATCTTCTTGCTTCATCTCTTTCCACTCCAGTCAATCTTCCACATGGCTACCAAGGAGATTTGTCTTAAGCTGATCACGTCACATCCTTACTCAAGAAACTCTAGTGCCTCCTTGTTGCCTCTAGGATAAACTAAAAATTCTGTGCTGTGCCTTTAAAGTCCTTAACAACTTGGTCCAAACTTTTTTAAAGTCTCATTATACGTTAATCAACTTCCTGGCCTCTATTATCCAGCCAAACTGGCCTTCTCTCCATTTCTTAACATGATGCTTTATCTCCCCCTGCTTTTCCTTCACATTTGTTGTCTCTGATACCTGGTCCACACTTCCTCCTTACCTCTACCTCATAGAATTCCTCTTCATTCCAAGATTCAACTCAAATATCATCTCCTACACTAAACCTTTCCTGATACCTCACAACTGCTAGTGTCCTTCCTCCTTATTACATATAGGGTCCTTAAGAGTAAGCATTGTTCCTTTTTTTTTTTTTTGTATTTGCTACCCCAATACCTAGCATGGTACCTGGCTCATAGTGAGTATTAAATAAATGCTTGTTGATTGAATACCAATCTATATTTCTAGGCATATTTAGTCATTCCAAGAAGGTGCCAAATACAAATTAATGTTATTGGAATGAAAATAATATTATTGTTCTACATGTTCATCTTCAGACTCAATTAAAAAGTGTGCACTTTAATTTGTTTTTCTAGTGGTTGTATTGGACGTCCATTAATCCACCCACATGCCTTCACCAGCACCCTCTTGTGACCAACATCATTCATTTAGTAATAACTAGCACGTATACAGGGCTCACCATGCACCAGGCGCTCTGCTAAGGGCTTTATGATTATTTAACTCATTTGATCCTTATAACAACCCTGGGAGATAGGTGTCATTATTATCTCCATTTTACAGATGAGGAAACTGAGGTAAACAGAGCTGAAGTGATGTGCCCAGGGTCATACAACTAATAAGCATCTGAAGTAGGATTTCAACTCAGGTCTTCCTGACTCCAGACCCAGCACTTTACTATCTACTGTATCACCCAGCTGCCCATTTACAACACACAGGGTCGTAATTGAAATAGAGTGAACACACAGGGTCGTAATTGAAATAGAATGTGTAGTCACTGGCCATGGGATACAGTGAAGATAATTAGCAAGACAGATTTTAGTTCATCTGTACCACATTCCAAATTGGTTACAAATCCACATTTTATTTATGGAAATGATGTGCTCATTGGGGGCATTAATGAAACAGGCATAATTTTTCTTGACTGTTTTAAGTGTACATAATAACTTAAATTTATATCATGCACTGGGTTACAAGAAACTTTGAAAACATCATCTCATTTGATCCTTATAACAACTCTGCAGGGTAGTAGTACAACTATTATTTTCTGCATTTTACAGATAAAGAAACTGACTTGCTTTACATAGCTGGCATAGAGCAAAGCCAGGATTCATAACCAGTCCATATTTCTCTCCATTGTAAGAAAAACTAAACTAAGTTTAACATTTGTCAAGCACTTTACATACACTATCTCATTTGAGCCTTACAACTCTATGAGGTAGATGCTAGTGTGATCTCCATTTTACAGATGAGGAAACTGAGACAGTTTAAGTGATTTGCCCAGGGTTGCACTACTAGCAATTTTCAGAGGCAGGATTCAAACCTAGGTCTTCCTGATTCCAAGTCTGCACTCTGTTCACTGCACCACTTAGCTGCCTAACAGGCTATTCCTGAGCATTGCGCAGTGATACAGGTGTTAGAAAAGATAATGAAACAATGACTTTATATGTGTTTTCATCCTCTCTGTCCGATGCGATCCCCCATACTTAATTCAGACCTCCTCCTCTTGAAAAATAAGAAAGAATCCAATGTGTACACTGCTTTCTGAAATGGTATTTCAATTAACCAACAAAAAAGTAGGAGAGGATGCCAAACAACAATTCTCTAATACCAGGATTAAAAGATTTTGGCCTAATATTAGAAAAAATCAAACTCATCTTAAAATTGAAAAATATCTGATGTTCTTCCTGTCAAATTCCATCAAACTGACTACACTTTTCAGGTATGACATTAAGTGAATAAGCCTATAAGAACATAATCCTTTATAACTACAAAAGCCAATCTCTTCAGCCTTGAAAAAGAATAGGTGATAACTAATTCTATTGATTAAATACTGCCAATTACTAAAGGGATAATTTTCAGTCTACTAGATGGGATAATTTTTTTTTGAGATGAGATCTTTTTCCAAAATTTATTAACTTGCTTACAAAGGATAGGGCTAAGCTCAAAACATGTAAAAGCATGAAAAAAGTATTCCTTTACACCTCTTAGGTATTTAAAAACAATTAAAGCTTGGTTATTTTAAATATATGAAATTAATTTATAAAGATAATACATTGTTTCATTGCAAGTGAATTCTAAATTAATTATATAAGTCATCGGTATAATGGTCACTGAATGAAGTTACTTTTTTGCAAAATCATTCAGAATCTTAGAACTTAATGGATCCTTCACTGATTATTTATGTGTGTATGTATGTATGCATACTGTGCATGTGTACATGTGTACGTATACACATATTTGTTATTCTTAAATTGGGGAAGGCCTCCAGTGCACTGGGTGGACCTCCTATGGTTAATCTGTGGGAGAACATGGGCATGAGTTGCAATGGATGGGCAGCCATGGAGAGGTTGCACTCTGCATTGCTGGTGGTGAAAACCAATCACATTTTACCCAAATCAAATTTTGGTCAAAACACCCAAATGTATGAAATTGCAGATCCATTTGAATATTTAAGGTCATTATTATTTTAAACAACAGGTAGCATGGGATCAGGAAAACCTGGGTTCAAGCCCCACCTCTAACATTTACTGGTTATATGATGCTGAACAAATTACTTAACCTCTCAGTCCCAGTCTAGGCAACTTTTAAAGACTATCAACTGCAGAAAAGGTGACAATCTGTAATAGGAAGAAAACTTTCTTCACCCAGATTTACCTATATTAGTGAAATAAGAGGTCTAGTCCCAGTTTCTTCCTATTCTTTCAAGTAATTAAAAAAAATCCAAACTAGTGGCAATTTTGTTTTGTTTCCAGTAGTGAATTGTAATAAAATGTTACACTTGATGATTATTACTAAGACTTTCTTCTCTTGAAAAAAATCTTTTTTCTTGGAAAAAAGCATTATATCCATATTTATAGACTATGTGATTTATGTAGAACTTTACAAGTGGTGGCATAACCTGTGTTCATCTACAGAACTCATCTGTATACCTATATTTTCTGAATAAATGTAAGATGCCCAGTGAACTTTGTTCACCCTTACGTTCATAAGACCTTTTATTTAGTATGTAAAAACAGTTCTAATACTTCATCATTTCTACAGTATTTCCAGTAAATCGTCACTAAAAAGGAGCCATTGTGGAAATGTCTAGTCACTTAAGATGCAGTAAGTTTAGATAACAGGTAAACATTAGTGTAAGGGGCATTCTACTGAGTTGCCTAGGAAACATTTAAGGAGATGATGAACTCCACTGAGATGCATTGAGGGATATAAAGAAATGCTGACACTAAGGATAGATTTACAGAAGACGCCAAATGAAATTACATTTTATCTCAATTCTCAATACTGCAGAGCGTCAACCTCATCTGACAACCTCCTCTTCTCATCAATAATCCCATCGTATTCTTTTAAATAATACCCCACTGGGTGAAATGAGGTACCCTTCTTTTCCCCTGAAAATATTTTATGAATAGGAAAAGATAGCAATAAAGTAAAAGAAAGAGAAGATTCTATGATAAAAATCACAATTTTAAGATAGAAAATAATTTTCCAGTATGAATAAGAAAAAAACACAACACTTTATCACTTTAATGATCAATATCTTCCATGTAAAAGAATAAATGGCATCTAATCCTTGAATTTAAGTAATACCAAGTATTAAAAGGTTAACTTTCAGGTTACGTAAAAGAATAAATTAAGTTCTGGAGAAAAAAAGGATCCTTTTCTGACTTTTAAAAATGAAATGTTATTATGACTTGATTGTAATTAGCAAGCTAGTTCCAATGACATGAACAGAACCAGCACTTTCTCTATATTATTGTAATGCACTGGAAATTAAAATTGGACCAATTATCTCAAAATGACATGATTGTCTCCTAGGAGGAGGAAATAGGTTATTGGAAACAGTAATTTCAACACCACATGGGTTGAAGGATGCATAAGCAGTGATTTTCAATCCTCGTTTATATTAAACAATGCAAACCAATGGAAATGGAACAGTGTCTATTTGGTTACCAATGGAAATGAAGCATTATGGTAACCAAAGTACTAAGGAAAGATGTATTCCATCCTAACATGGTATGTGTGTGAAACTATTTGTTCTTCAAATGACATTGCAATCTAGGGATGAGACGTGTTTGTCCAATTCCCTGTGCAAGCTTACTCTTCTCAACAGACAACACAAAGCTCACCTGATTCTATCTGCCGTCTGGCAACCCCTGGCTTGTAGTTGAAACAGGCAGGTATTCTCCCCAAGGTTTGGTTACTTCCTGTCCCTCCTCTTTATCAATTGTCTTTCATTTTTCCCCATTAAAACTTGAATGCTTTGCATTTTAAAGGTTTAGCTAGCTCTTCCAGTGTTGTGCAGATCAGACAATGTTAATTGTTGTTGTGGGTCTCAGTAATTTCTTTTTTTTTTTTTAAGAGAATTCTGGAGGTCATTATAAGTTTTTTTTTAAGGTGCACTAATTGAATCTTTAATTTGTATAAGGAATGGACACAATAAAATATGCTCTCCAATTTCATTTATCTGCCAGAAATTTCTTGAGGAGGGAAAACTGGAGGCAGTGTCTTTTAAAATTATTGCCTATTAACAGGTGTTTGATTCAGGACATGGCTCACCGTGGCTTATAATAGCTAACATTCCAAAGATGATAATTTTCTTTCTTGATTCAGTGGATACTTGGATGACTTCAATGATTTTTTTTTCACGTAAAAAGTTTGATGATTGCTAGTACCCACACCTCAGATTATCTAAGATTAACTTTTTTTTTGTGCGGTTTACTCCAACAGCGGTTTTCCTGTGAAATCATGTAAGTAGGAACCATCTGGAAAAGGTTACTGTGGAAACAGCAAGGGGAAGCAGGGGGTGGGGCTAGAGAGAGATGCCATGACAACCTTTTTCGGGTTTCCCAGGAAACGATGGTTGCTATAGGAACTGCATCACTCAGGTCCGAATTAGTAACTTCCGCTGGAAGGGGTGTCTGTCACTTTAATCTTCTTGTGATATTGCAGAAGCTTATCTCTCAGATGCATTAGGAAAAAAAAAATCTTTCGTTTCTCTCAGCAGCACTGAAAACGTCGCTGTTTCTAGACTAGGATTGGTTTTGGCTGGGGGGCGTGCACAGAACTTCTTCACAATGATTTAATGTTAAATCTAACGCTTTCCAAATACCTAAGCAGTCCCCGGGGTTAAACTACAGTTAGTCAAATCATTCAATCTTGAGTTGAAGAAAGCATTTTCTTCAGAAATATGTAATTCTGGGGAGGGGGATGTCAAGCGGAGAGTTCAGATATAAACTGAATAAATTTACAACGGATTTACAAATCATTACACTAATTAGAATTTAATTGATCGATCCTTTAGGCTAGGCAATTCACCTACAAGCACAATAAACAGTTCTAGAAGGTCCTCCCACTGACTGGTAAAAAAACAAACAAACAAACAAAAAAACCCTGCCTTTAATTATGTAGTTAAACCCGTTACCCTAAAAGCACTTTTAATTCCCCTCCCCACCTACACATTTCATTGTTTCAGAGCGTACTAGAAACCAAAAGTCACAAACAGCATTTCCGCTATTTGCAAGATTACAAGGGGGAAAAAAATGGGGAGCAGAGGAAACGCAGCCCATTTGCAAAAGACACCTGTTTTGGTATGAAGCAACATGGGACAGGGGCGGGGTGGATGAAGGAAGTGTGTTTTCCATATTCTTCTCTGGATGAATGGTCTGGAAATGTATAAAAAACGAGGGCATACACAGACCAATGGGGCACGTTCCACACAATACTAAGCATAGCATGTCACTTGTATCATGTATTAAACATCGGTGAATATCTTTTTGATGTTGACACACGAGTTGGGATTATTGTTCGTGGTGCAGGTGGCAGTGGAGTTGCCCGTTTTGAAGGGGGCTGGGGGGAAGGTGCTATGGTTCATACCCGCCTCCTCGATCACCATGTATTCTGACTTACTCAGAGTCGAATTACTCCGAGCTTTCCTTAGCTCTTCAACTGAAGAAGAGAGATGCTGGCAGCTCCCCACGTGCATGTACTGGGCTTGCTCTTCGCCCTCCGTCTCTCGATGATAGAAGTAGTTGAAATTGGAAACAATCACTGGCACTGGCAGGGCGATCGTCAGGACCCCAGCGATGGCACACAGAGATCCCACAATCTTGCCCCCGATCGTCACCGGGTGCATATCCCCATAACCTACCGTGGTCATCGTCACCACAGCCCACCAGAAGGCATCGGGAATGCTGCTGAACCCAGAAGTGGGGTCGTCTGCCTCTGCAAAGTAGACAGCGCTAGAGAAGAGGATAACCCCGATGAAGAGGAAGAAGATGAGAAGCCCCAGCTCCCTCATGGAGGCCTTCAGGGTCTGCCCCAGGATCTGCAGCCCCTTGGAGTGGCGGGAGAGTTTGAATATTCGGAAGACCCGCACCAGCCGAATGACCCTCAGAATGGCCAGGGACATGGCCTGCTGTCCGTGCCCTGCCTCTCGGCCAGCTCGGTGCCCAGGGTGATGAAGTAGGGAATGATGGCCACGATGTCAATCAGGTTCATAATGTTGCGGGAGAAGGTGGCCTTACTGGGGCAGGCGAAGAAACGCACCAGCAGCTCAAAGGAGAACCAGATGATGCACAGGGTCTCCACCACAAAAAAGGGGTCCGAGAAGCTGGAGACGCCCGCCGTGGAGCCCGCCGTGCTGTTGGTGGCGGCTTCCAGCGTGTCGGACGACGAGGACCCCGAGTATTCCTTCTCGTCGCGGAACTCGGGCAGCGTCTCCAGGCAGAAGATGACAATGGAGATGAGGATGACGAGCACCGACACGATGGCGATGCCCCGCGCGGGCCCCGAGCTCTCGGGGTACTCGAAGAGCAGCCACACCTGGCGCTGGAAGTCCCGGCGGGGCAGGGGCCGCTCCTCCTCCCGCAGGAAGCCCTCGTCCTCTCGGAACTTCTCCATGGCCTCCTCGCCCAGCTGGTAGAAGCGGATCTCCTCGGAGAAGATGTCGATGGGCACATTGACTGGCCGGCGGATGCGGCCCCCGGACTGGTAGTAGTAGAGGATGGCGTCGAAGCTGGGCCGGTTTCGATCGAAGAAGTACTCGTTGCGGAGCGGGTCGAAGTACCTCATGCGTCGCTTGGGGTCTCCCAGCAGCGTCTCGGGGAACTGGCACAGGGTCTTCAGCTGCGTCTCGAAGCGTAGCCCGGAGATGTTGATCACCACCCGCTCCCCGCAGCAGTCCTGCTCCCCGCCCGCGCCCGCCCCGGCGGGCGGCCCGGCGGGCGGGAGCGGCTCGTAGCGGTCACGGTCACGGTCACGGTCACAGCCGCCGCCGCAGCCCCCCGGCTGCGGACCGCCCGCCTCGGGCTCCAGCAGGTGGTCCCCCGGGCACCACGGTCATGCCGGGCGGCAGCTCGGGGCCGGCGGCGTCCCCCGCGGCGGGCTCGATGTAGCCGGGGTTGACCAGGGTGTGGGCGCCGCCGCCTCCCGCCTGGAACTGGGGCTGGGGCTGAGCCGAGGGGTGGGCGCGGTGGCGGGCGGAGGGCGGCGGAGGCGAGTGCAGGAGGCTGAGATGCTCGTCCATAAGGCAGCGGCGGCGGCGGCCGAGGCGGCGGCGGAGGCGGAGGCGGAGGCGGCGGCGGCGGCGGCGGCGGTGGCGGCGGCTGCTGCCCCTTCACCGCCTCCCCTCGCCGCGCCCACCCTCCGCCCGCCGGCTCAGACCCGCCGAGCCCGCAGCCTGTTGCTGCTGCTGCCGCCGCCGCCGCCACGAGGCTCCGTCTGGGGCTGCCTCGCTCCCCTCCGCTCCTCCAAAGACAGACAGCTCCCTCCCCAGCCTCCCCTCGCCGCGCCTCGCCGCGCCTCGCCGCGCCTCGCCTCTCTCCCCCTCCCTCCGCCCCGTCCGCTCCCCCGCGTGGCGCGCGCGCGGAGCCCCACTCCACTCACCTCGGGATTCCCGCCCACCGAGGCGGGGGCGCGCCGGCCCTTCCCGCCCACTGCGGCGGGAGCGCGCGCCCCTGTCCCCCTTGGCCAGCTGTGGGCAGGCAGAGTCTCTTCCCAACACCCCCCCCCCACCGTTCCCCCGACCCCGGCCTCGGGAGGGAGCTCAGGTTTCCTTTACTGCCTGGGCTCTATCCCACCTGGTGTGTCACCCCAGGCCTCTAAGGCCTACCGCTCCTCTCCTGACTTCAGGGAGCCAAGGCATCTCCACCCCGGCCCCATTCCCACTCAGCTTAGGGGCAGTTTACCTGCCTCTAACATCCTGGCCAGACGCCTCTCTACCATCCCAAGCCTAGGGCAAAGCACAGCCTCTTTCTTAGGGGGTGAATTCTCAAGTGCTTTTCTTTCTTTCATTCAACAAGCACTTATTAAGCACCTACTACGTGTCAGGCACTGAACCTTTTTCCATGGTACAGTCAGCTCACTCTAGCCTTCTCTTCTCTACCTCCATGCCCATCCCCAGTGAGGCCGACCTGAGTTGGGCCCTGTCACACTCCTCTCACCCCCGGGTCGTATCGTACCACCCAGAGCCCCAGTGTGAGCCAGGCTAAGGACTTGGTGCGTGCCGTGTACACCAAGCCGGCTGCGAGGTGCGTGCCAGGCTCCATCAAGTCCATTCGGACGTTGGTAGTGTGCCTGTAGCTGGGGTACAAAGTGGAAGGAACTCCAGGTTAGAGTGCCGGACAGCATAAAGTATCCTGAGCTGTAAAAGACCCCAGAGGCCATCGAGTCCAACCCCACAGTTTATACAAATAAGGAAACTGAGACTCAGTTAACTTAAGTGGCCTTCCCAAGATGACAGGTGGTAATCGACAGAGGCAAGATTTCAATGCAGAACCTTTGACTTCAGAGCTGGTGCCATTTCTCTACCGAACCCTGGGAGCAGGAAGATGAAGTAGAAGGCAGTGGGCAAGGTGACTCGAAAGAGACTGGGAGAGCCAGCAAGGAAAGGAAGCAAGGATGAAGTGGTAATGCTTCAGGTACAAGCTCTAAAAAACGAGACACTCCAGTGTTGGGATCTTGAGCACACTTCTGGGAGGGAGACCCATACCTGACAGTAAGCTCTCACTTATCTCCTGCTAGGGTGAGATACTGTCTGGGAGGTATGGGTACTGCAGGCTGTCTCACTGGAGTTCAAAGAAAATGGGTCATAAGAATCCTTCCAGGGAGTCCCTCCTGCTGTGGGAAGATGCATTACGCATAGGTCACAAGAATGCTATAGCAGAGACTAAAAGAAATGGGGAAGAGTCCCACCCGTTAGGCATCTAGACTCCAGTAAATTTAGGCTAGTGGGGAATGAACATGGCAAACCAATCTTTTAAGTTATCTCCGTTTGCTGGGATAGCTGCTATAAAAAGCTACCTTTGGGGGTATTGGTGGTGAAGAGAAAAATATAAATAGGTTTGAGGGTGGACACAGGGAAAAGGAGATGCACTACAGACAAACCTGTATGGTTTAGAAAACAGTGATCCTAACAAGACAGCTGTGAGGTGGAGAGGAGAGACAGCTGCTTCAAGAATCCATATTTAATGTGCTTTCAATGATTTGGCTTCTCCTGTGGTAAGGAAGCCACGCTCTAGTTGTTAAATAACTTACTCATTCACTGGATTGCACCTCCGTTGCTTGACCTTTTTTTTTTCCTAGGCTAGACTCTTGCATTTGTCCCTGTTTTTCATTTAATCCATTTCTCTAAATAGCCAAGGTCACTTTGAATTTAATCCTTATTTTCCAAGGATTTAGCAAACCCACCCAATTTAGTGTCATCACAGACTTAAAACATGTGTCCTCTCTTCCATGATCCCAGTCGCTTATAAAAATAGTAAATAATTCAGGGGACAGGACTGAGCTCTGTGGAACACCACAGTGTATAACTCTACCTCCCCACCCTCCAAATACATACCAGCCCACACATAACCTAACAAGTAGTTTTTAGTATTCCTAATAGTGTAGACATTAGTGATTCTGTAAGGCCACAGTGTATGCATTTTTAGGTCGTCTTCTGGGTCTTCAAAGAGCATTTTCCCCCCTCTGGGCCTAGGAGTGTATGCAATGTGTTCTTCTGCAAACAAGAGGAATGAAATTGAGCTTAAAATATATTTCTATTTTTCTCACTGGTTTTCCCCTTCTGGCTCTCCGTGATGTGGCACCTATCTGGGTGCCACTCTTCGCTGCCCACTCTACTGTACTCTCCTCTCTTTCCACTCATTTATATTGGTTTACTTTCCACCCAAGTTTGCGCTGGATTCTCTCAGTTTATCCAAGTCAGTCTTAGGCACAATAGGCATTCAGTAAAGGCAATATGAAGGTAGCCAACCCTCAAAATACCTTTAACTCATAAATCTTCAGAATAATAAAGATGGACATTTGTAAAAGACTTCAAGGTTTGCAAAATGTTTTACCCGCATTGTCTCTTTCAATCCTCACTGCAACCCCGTGAAGTAGATGCCATTACCATCCCCATTTTACAGATAAGGAAGTGAACGGAGACCGCTTAGGTGGCTTGCCCAGAGCCAAAAAGCTGTTGCTGGTAGAAGGTGAGATTTGAACCCCAGTTCTAGGTCAGGCTCTCTAACCATTAAGAAAATCTATCTTGCTATCTCATTATGTGTCATTCACACTGTTTTGTGTAATTTACATACTTGACACCTGAAAATGAGCTTGATTTGCCACCAAGAAAACTCATAGGAAGGCAAAGAAAGACCCTGTTAATTTTCTGGGTCCAAATGTTTAACATCCTCATGTGTCTAAACGAGGAGGTGACTCATTCCTTGTTTCTCAGAAATTAGCACTAAAATGTGTTAGTCAGTGACAAAAAAGAGCAGAGCCAAAGATGACCTGTGATGGATGGTCGCAGGCTTCTTCTCCCTGCTGAGAAGGAGCTCTGCTTTGGATAGGGTTATTTCCGTCCTTCTTCATGTCTTGTCTGACAGATTCAGAGTATAGCCTCCTGCTAGCAACCCTTTCGAGTCAGAGAATTTTAGAGTTAGAAGGCAGCTTAGTGATTCCTTTTGAAAATATATTTTACAGATGAGGAAACTGAGTCACCCAGAGCTTTAAGTGGCTCACCCAAAGTCACACAATGAAAGGGGTGGGGTTGGAACCTGGATTTCCTAATTTTCAATCCCAGTGAAATTGCTGCTACAGCACACAGTGAAATTCCCTGACAATAAGCATTTGCGGGTACTTAATATGTGCTAGATTGGAAGACTAGCCTGTTTGTGCCTGATTACTGACTATTCACTGCAATGTATATTTATCGTAACTGAAAACCACTGCCTTCTGAAGGCTAGTCCTTAGCCTACAGGAAGTGAGTTGGTGGACACAATCCAACCTTTGTTGGATATCAGTACCCATCACAACAAGTCAACATTGCAATTTTAGTAATAACACATGCCATTTATTTAACACCCCCAACTGAGTAGTTCAAAGTACTTTGAAAATGTCTTGTTAATCTGTATGAAGCCCCTGGGGAATAATAATAATATTATTATAATGTTCAAGGCTAGAATTGTGACAAAGCCAAAGGCTGTTCTGAGCATGTGCAGGGTTTTACCACTGCCTGAATGAAATCAAGAGGTGCGATTTAGATAAAATGCAGAGGGAAACCATACTTGATGGAAGTTTTTTTTTTTCCTTTCTGGGGAGTGGGGGGAACCTGTAGATTTATTTTGTGCTCCTTCTAAGTACTTTTAGGCTCCAAATAACTCACCACTTTTTAGCCAGCTGATGAGGCAGACATCAAGAGGTTATTAACCCCAGAAAACTTGTTACTATTGTTGTAGGCCTATCTATCTATCTATCTATCTATCTATCTATCTATCTATCTATCTATCTATCTATCTATCTATCTTTGTTTCTTTCTTTCTTTCTTTCTTTCTTTCTTTCTTTCTTTCTTTCTTTCTTTCTTTCTATCACCTATTTGTCTGTCTGTCCCTTTATCCATCTATCTATCCACCCATCCATCCATCTATCTATATGTCTATCTATCTATCTATCTATCTATCTATCTATCTATCTATCTATCTACCTACCTACCTACCTATCTAGTCTGCCTATCATCTATGACGTAAATTTAATGACCATCTATTATATGTAAGGTGTTGTAGGAATACAAAGTTACTTGTGTATGTCATACTAATAGATTATAAACTCCATGAAGGCAGGCACCACATCTTATTTAAACTTTGTATTATTCACAGGAGCAAGAAGAGTATTCTACACTGAGTAGGCCCTAATTATTTTTATTAAAATATATTGAAATTGCATGTGGTCCCTGTATTCAAGGATGACCTTGCAATCTAATAGAGAAGACAAGAAAAGTGAAATAGCAGTGTATGTTAGAGATACAAGAGATGGAACAAGGGAGTAATAATTGATTAATTGCGCAATTAATTGCCAAATGAGTGATATGATGAATGCAATGAGTTCAGAGGCAGGAGAGATGACTGTGAGCTGGTTGTGTAGAGGCTTACTGAAGGATGCAGGACTCAAGTTAGGCAAAAAAAAAAATATGGATAGAAATAAGATTGATAAGAAAGAAAAGGCAGAGTTTGAACAAAGGCATGGAAGGGAGAAAACACAAATCAAGTTCTGAGGACCAGAAATAGAACACTTTAGTTGGAGGACTTGTACAGGGTAGT